CAAAACGTGCCGCCGATGGAGGGCTGGGTCACCGTAGGGTTCGCGTGGGTCTGCTGCCGCCACTGCTGGTTGAAGGGCAAGGGCAAGGAGAAGAAAACCCAAGTAGGGTGGTGGTTGACGGCTAGGGCAAGGGCAATGAGAAAGAGATGTGGTTAGGGTATCTTTTTCCTTTCTTTTTGTTTTGTTTTCTTTTATCTTTTTACCAAAAAAGAAATAATAATATTTAACCAAAAACTAATTACTTTAAATAAGATAATAAATCCTAATCTTTTTTTATTTAAAAGAACTCCTACTCTTAAATGGATTTGGGAAAATAATTTAAGAGTTTAATTAAAAATTTGAACTCCAATTTAGAAAATCCAAGAATTTAAATGGAAAATCCAAAGGCTCGATTTAAATCTTAAAATGAAAATAACCCAAAAACTCGGGGCGTTACGTTGGTGCCACTTTAAAGTGTAGCCCATTATTGATTATAGTGGAGATTTTGACTTCGGTCTGTGGTTTTTTACACCTCGCATTGTGGGGGTTTTTCCACGTTAAAATTGCTTGTGTCCCGTGTTTGTTTGCATTATTATTTTTACTTGCTATTTCCTATTATGTTCACACAAAAAGGGATAATTAGTCCATAAAATTAAGTGTTTATCCCAACAGAATTGTCTATGCTTTTGGGGACGAGTCGGAGTTGGGAGCTGGAAACATAACTTCGCAAGATGGAATTCACTCCTTCCCGACTTTGGGGAAGTATATGAGTTGTTCCTTTAAATGATGACTCTGGGTCTTGAACAAAGCGCTCCATCCTCTCACTGGCCCGAGAGAGACTTTGTTTTATGGTAGGACCATAAACGATTGTTCGTTAGAGGATTAGTAGTATTTAATGACCAAGAAGTAACTATAGGGGTAAGACAGTAATTTGACCCAACTGTAGTTACAGACGACTCATGAAAGATTGACTTATTCATTATGGTTATATCCATGGACACAAAATATTCTACAGTGCGAAGAGTGCAGTCCTGGGTCTTTAGTGGAGTGACCCACAATTAATGAATGTTGATTAATTTAATTAATGAGTTGAATTAATTAATCTTGTATCATTTGAGCTTCTAATCTGTATGTCCATTAGGTCTCCGAGCTAGCTCACAACGGGTAAAACGTTGATCAAGAAATTGAAAGAACTTGAAATGTTCAAATTTAATAAGGGAATCGTATATAACGTATACACCATTTATACAATGTATATATTGATAC